ATATTTTCCAGAACTATCCGAGAGAATCGACAGAAAAGCGTCGTCCGTTCGACTCGGGGGGGGGGGGGGGGGGTGGTCGCTTTGCCCATCGCGGTTCTGTTTGTCGTCGCCACGTGTCCCAGCGTTGGAGACGTGGCCTCGTCTCTCGCTGCCTGGCTGCCTGCCCCGTGAGTGAGTGACGCTGCCTGCCCAGCTGTTTTGTTGTTTGCTGGGGGAGACATTGTGCTGCTGCTGGTGGTGCTGCTGGTGGTGCTGCTGCTGGTGCTGGTGGTGCTGCTGCTGGTGGTGGTGCTGGTGATGGTAATAAAGGTGGCAAGTTCACTTACCTGGGCTGGAACTGCTCTGAGCAGGTGGGCGCATCGTGATGATGTTGTTGTTGTTGTGCACGAGACTTGAACTAGAAACTAGACCGCGTTTTATTTTAGCGGGCAAGGGCCTCATTGAGATGCTGTGTGTGTAAGCTCTCTTTTCGAAGGCCCTGACCTGGGCATTACCGATGATAGTTCTACCAATGAGGTTCATCATCATCATCACGTGAACCTTTATAGCAGTTGGCAAAGACTCTAGCAACTCACGTCTCTCAAATGTGGAGGGGAAAACCAGAGGGCCCGGAAAGAAAATCCACTCGACAACAGAAAGACAAGAGAGACACAAACTCTATGCAGCAGCTGCAGCATCAACTGCCAGTCTCTGTGCGTGTCTGTGTCTCTGCGTGTGTCTGTGTCTGTAACGGTGTGTCTGTGTCTATGTCTCTGCGTGTCTTTGTGTCTCTGCGTGCATGTCTCTGTGTGTCTCTACGTGTCTCTGCGTGTGTGTCCATGTCTCTGTGTGTGTGTGTCTCTGCATGTCTACGTGTGTGTCCATGTCGTCTCTGTGTGTGTCTGTGTCTCTGTGTGTGTGTCTGTGTGTGTGTCTATGTCTCTGTGTGTGTGTCTGTGTCTCTGCATGTGTGTCTCTGTGTGTCTCTGCGTGTGTGTCTGTGTGTGTCTCTCTGTGTGTGTCTGTCTCTGTGTGTGTGTCTCTGTGTGTGTGTGTGTCTCTGCGTGTGTCTCTGTGTGTGTGTCTATGTGTGTGTCTGTGTCTCTGTGTGTCCATGTCTCTGTGTGTGTGTCTCTGTGTGTGTGTCTATGTCTCTGTGTGTGTGTCTCTGTGTGTGTGTCTATGTCTCTGTGTGTGTGTCTCTGTGTGTGTGTCTATGTCTCTGTGTGTGTGTCTCTGTGTGTGTGTCACTGTGTGTGTGTGTCTGTGTCACTGCGTGTGTGTGTCTGTGTGTCTCTGTGCGTGTGTCTGTGTGTCTCTGTGTGTGTGTGTGTCTCTGTGTGTGTGTCTATGTCCAGGACCTACCGTGGAGCTGATCTGTCCTCTGACCATCGACTAGTCATCTGTAAGATGCGCCTGCCTTTCTTCCACTCCGGTGGTGGGTGTACACCCAGGATCCCATTCCAACCAAAAGTGGCCTGGTCTCAGTTAGCTGATGAAAGTTGCAAGCGAGAATTTCATCGCTTGCAGCTGGGGTTGGCATCGTCCCCCACTCCACCTGATGTCGAGGGGAAATGGGCGAGGTTTAAGACTGTGACTCATGCAGCTGCAATGGCTGCTTTGGGTACGCGGTCCAGACCTCCCCAGAAACCCTGGCTGACAGAGGAGGTGTTTAGGTTAATTGAGAAAAAGCGTCAGGCCCACTCTCATCGCCTACAGCATCCCACGTCAGAGAATGAGGAGGTTTACCGCAGCCTTCGCTCGGAAGTTCGGAGAGCCGTCAGGCGCTGTAAGGATGGGTGGTGGTCGCGGGTTGCTGAGGAGATGGAGTCTGCCTCAGTGGCCCGTGATCACAAATCACTATTTAACTCCATCAAAAAAGTAACCTGCAGCGCCACACCTATTACCATCATTAGAGGAAAAAACGGTGATCCAATCTCCGACCCCCAGGAACAGGTTTGCAGATTTGCTGAGCATTTCTGTGAGGTCCTGGGGGAGGGAAATGCTCTCAGCCAGGAAAACATCATGGCACAAAGTGGTGATAACCCTGCTGAGGCTGCGGTGCCTCAAATATTGGAAGAGGTCACCCCCTGTGAGTGGCTGGCTGAGGTGCCATCTGTTGAGGAAGTACTGAAGGCGATCCGGAGTCTGAGACCAGGAAAGGCACCGGGCAGAGATGATCTCCCAAGCGAAATGCTGAGGGAGGGTGGCGTTTGTGCACAGACTGCCCTATATGACATCATAACAACAGTCTGGACCACTGGACGGGTTCCGCAGGACTGGAAGGATGCCCTGGTGGTTCCCCTCTTTAAGAAGGGGGACCGTACCGACTGTAACAACTACAGGGGCATCTCACTCCTCAGTGTGCCGGGTAAGGTCCTGGCAAGGATTATTCAACATCGCCTTGCTAGGCACGCTGAGGAGAGGCTTGCGGAGCCCCAATGCGGTTTCAGGAAAGGGCGGTCCTGCACAGATGCCATATTTTCTGTCCGTCTGCTACAGCAGAGGTGTAGGGAATTCCAAAAAGACCTACATCTCTGCTTTATTGACCTGGTCAAGGCCTATGATACCATCAGTAGGACTGGGCTCTGGGTTGTTCTTCGTGCTTTCGGAGTCCCTGACCCTCTGCTCACGATCATTAAGGACCTTCATGATGGTGAGCGGGCCCGGGTAAAACTACGTGGCCGGGAGTCGGAGCCTTTCCCTGTACACCTTGGGGTGCGACAGGGATGTCCTCTGGCTCCCACATTATTTAACATCTATTTTGACCGCGTAGTTCGTGAAGCCTTCAATAGCTGTACCGGGGGAATTTCCATTTGGTACAGATATAATGGGAGGCTGATCGACGCCCGGGTGCGATCAAGGGATGGCTCCCTATTGGTCAACCACGTTATGTATGCCGATGATTTGGTAATAGCTGCTCATTCAGAAGAGGAGTTGGAGGCGCTGCTGCTGAGACTGGAGCGTGCCACTAAGAGGTGGGGCCTTACCATCAGCCCCACCAAAACTAAGCACCTGCCTGGGTATTTTGTACCATCGGACACTCCACCCCCACAACTCCCAATTGGTGATGGGGCAGTTGTGGAGAGAGTGGAGAGTTTCCCATACCTGGGGAGTGTGCTTATGACCGGCTCCAGTCTATCAGCAGAGGTCTCACTCCGAATCAGTCGAGCGGCAATATATTTTCATCGGTTGCGTAACGCTGTGTGGAAGCTACCTGGTCTGTCGCTCCGCACGAAGCTTCAGGTCTTCTCGGCCACGGTCATTCCCTCCCTTCTCTACGCTTGCGAGACGTGGACCCCCCTGGTGGAGCATCTTCGCCGGTTGGAAACATTTAGGCTGGCCTGCCTACGATCCATCCTGGGTTTAACCAGGCTGGATTGTGTGAGGAGCTCACAAATCCTTGAATGATCTGGGCAAAGTCCCATCGGTGAGCTCCTCCGGCAGGCAAGGCTGCGTTGGCTGGGTCATGTAACCCGCATGCCCAGCCACCGCATGCCTTAACAGATTTTGTTCGGCCGGATCGAGGGGGCTAAACGGGCGCGGCACGGGCTAGAGAAGAGATGAGGTGATGTGGTACAGAAGGACGTGAACCTGAGTGGACTTGCCGATGACTGGTACCAGCGGTGTCAAGATCGGCCTCTGTGGAGGAGGCTCGTGAAGGACGCTACTGGGCAGTTGGAGGCAATCGCCCTCCAACAACAACGGAGGGTGGAGGAGCAACGCTCACAACAACGAGCAGAGTGCCGGGTGGCTAAAGCACAGCAAGTTGGTACAGTAGGGGGCACAGGTGGTGCATCAGCCAGTCATCTCGGTCATCTCGGTCAGTCGACCCGTGGCACCTGCTGGGTCTGCCCCGTGACCTCCTGCCAGCGGGCGTTCGACACTTCACGTGGCAGCCTCATGGTGCACTTGGCCTGGCACAAGGGTCGTGGTGACTTCACCGCCACTTAGTGGCGAATGGCGGTTGTTGTTGTCTCTGTGTGTGAGTGTCTCTGTGTGTGTCTGTGAGTGTCTCTGTGTGTCTGTGTGTCTCTGTGTGTGTCTGTGTGAGTGTCTCTGTGTGTGTCTGTGTGTGTCTCTGTATGTGTGTCTGTGTGTGTCTGTGTGTCTCTGTGTGTATGTCTGTGTGTGTGTCTGTGTGAGTGTCTGTGTCTGTGTGTGTGTCTGTGTGTGCTGCTCTGGCACCAACAGTCTGTTCAGGCTAGGGGGGTGAGTGAGATGACGTCATCTCCTCACCAGGTGAGTGAGATGACGTCATCTCACCAGACGAGGGAGATGACGTCATCTCCCTCACCCCTCCCCACCCGTGACTCTCCCCCCCCCCCCCCCCCCCCGTGTCTCAGCCGTGCTGAGTGCTCCGACTGTCACCTTGATGCTGCACAAGAACATGACGCTGGAGGAGGAGGGGGGTGATGATGAGGGGGAGGGTGGTGAGGAGGGGGAGGAGTGTGGTGGTGAGGAGGGTGAGGACTACGAAGATGATGACGACGATGGCTACGACGATGATGACTACGATGATGATGATGAGGGTGATGATGATGATGAGGGTGATGATGAGGATGATGAGGGTGATGATGATGATGAGGGTGATGATGATGATGAGGGTGATGATGAGGATGATAGTGGCGACGGTGATGGGGCCGACGGTGATGGCGGTGACGGTGATAACTACGATGATGATGATGATGAGGTGATGGCGGTGACGGTGATGGTGGCGACGCTGATGACGACGATGAGGGTGATGGCGGTGACAGTGATGGCGGTGATGGGGCCGACGGTGATGGCGGTGGCGGTGATGGCAGTGACGGTGATGGCGGTGACGCTGTGATGATGATGATGGCGGTGATGGCGGTGACGGTGATGATGATGATAGGCGGTGATGGTGGTGACGGTGATGACGACGACAATGAGGGAGAGCGGAAGGCGTGGGAGCTGTCCGTGCGGGTCTCCATGAGCAGCGAGTGGAGGAGGAGGATGGCGCAGAGTGACGTGCACTACCATCTGCAAGCCGAGGTCCTCCACAAGGAGGGGTGTCACTAGCACGGTGAGAGTGGGTGAATGAAGTGGTGGAGTGAGTGGGTGGGTGAGTGGGTGGGTGGGTGAGTTGGGTGGGTGGGTGAGTGAGTGGTGAGTGAGTGGGTGGGTGGGTGAATGAGTGGTGAGGTGAGTGGGTGGGTGGAGTGGGTGAATGAGTGGTGAGTGAGTGGGTGGGTGAGTGGGTTGGGTGGGTGATTGGGTGGGTGGGTGAGTGAGTGAGTGAGTGGGTGGGTGGGTGAGTGGGTGAGTGGGGTGGGTGGGTGGTGGGTGAGTGAGTGGGTGAGTGGGTGGGTGGGTGGGTGAGTGGGTGGGTGGGTGGGTGAGTGAGTGGGTGGGTGAGTGAGTGGGTGGATGAGTGGGTGGGTGGGTGAGTGGGTGAGTGGTGGTTGGGTGGGTGAGTGGGTGGTGGTTAGGTGGGTGGGTGAGTGGGTAGGTGGGTGGGTGGGTTGTGGGTGAGTGAGTGGATGGGTGTTTGAGTGGTGGGTGGGTGTGTGAGTGGGTGAGTGAGTGGGTGGGTGGGTGAGTGGGTGAGTCAGTGGGTGAGTGGGTGGGTGAATGAGTGGGTGTGAGGGAGTGGGTGTGAGTGAGTGGGTGGGTGAGTGAGTGAGTGGGTGGGTGGTGTGAGTGAGTGAGTGAGTGGGAGGGTGGGTGGGTGGGTGGGTGGGTGGGTGAGTGAGTGGTGAGTGGGTGGTGGGTGGGAGTGAGTGGGTGGGTGGGTGAGTGGGTGGGTGGGTGGGTGAGTGGGTGGGTGGGTGAGTGGGTGGGTGAGTGGGTGGGTGAGTGTGGGTGGGTGGGTGAGTGAGTGGGTGGGCGGTTGAGTAGGTGGTTGAGTGGGTGGTTGAGTGGGTGGTTGAGTGGGTGGGTGGTGATGCTACTACTACTGATGATGATGCTATTGCTGCTGCTGCTACTACTGATGATGATGCTATTGCTGCTGCTGCTACTACTGATGATGCTATTGCTGCTGCTGCTACTACTGATGATGCTATTGCTGCTGCTGCTGCTACTACTGATGATGCTATTGCTGCTGCTGCTGCTACTACTGTTGATGATGATACTCAGGTTAACACGTAGCAGGCTTCGCGACCAATATCATCCAAAAGAGGTTTTGGGTTAGATCACGTAAATATATAAATGATGTGTCGTTAAAAACCCGCGACCACCCGACACAGCCAACTCGTGAGGGTTGTCACGTAAACAGAACGTGGCCAATGTACATGTGTGTGTGTTTGGATGGATGGGTTTTGCGAGTTGAGATGATTTAGAAACGCGCTCAGTGTATCTTTGCTGTGTGGCCAGACCACCGACGTGTCATCCACGTAACGCAGCACACTGAGACCATCTGCTTGCTCCTGCCAGGAGCGCTTTGTGGGATGTCGCTACCGCCACGCGCTGCCTCAGCCTGCAGGCGCCGCTGAGTACTGCGTCCGCGTGAGAGTCGTAGTCAACTACCCGCGGTGGAAGACAGGGGAGTGGTCTCCCCTGTCGTGTGTCTCCGTCCCTCCACCACACAGCGCCGTGGGTGAGTGGGTGAGTGGGTGGGTGGGTGAGTGGGTGGGTGGGTGAGTGGGTGGGTGAGTGGGTGGGTGGTTGAGTGAGTGGGTGGGTGAGTGTGTCAGTGAGTGGGTGAGTGGGTGGGTGAGTGGGTGGGTGAGTGTGTCAGTGAGTGGGTGAGTGGGTGGGTGGGTGGGTGAGTGGATGGGTGAGTGGGTGGGTGGGTGAGTGTATGAGTGAGTGGGTGTGTGAGTGGGTGGGTGGGTGAGTGGGTGGGTGGGTGGGTGGGTGAGTGGGTGGGTGGGTGAGTGAGTGAGTGGGTGTGTGAGTGAGGGTGGGGAGCGGTAGTGCAGCGGTTAGCGCACTGCGCTATGAACCCGGCGACACGAGTTCGATTCCCGCTCACGGCCAACACCAGTGACGATTATCTGAACCGGTCCCGGGCCTCCCCTAGGTCGACTCAGCCTCAAATGACCCAGCCAACGCAGCCTTGCCTGGCGGAGGAGCTCACCGATGGGACTTTGTCCAGATCTTTCTGGGATTTATGAGCTCCTCACACAATCCAGCCTGGTTAAACCCAGGATGGATCGTAGGCAGGCCAGCCTTAATGTTTTTAAGCGGCGAATATGTTCCATTAGGGGGGTCCACTTTTCGCAAGCGTAGAGAAGGGAGGGAATGATTGTGGCCGAGAAGATCTGAAGCTTCGTGCAGAGCAACAGACCAGGTAGCTTCCACACACCGTTACACAACCAATGAAAAGATATTGCCGCTTGACTGATTCGGAGTGAGACCTCTGCTGTTAAACCGGAGCCGGCCATGATCACACTGCCCAGGTATGGGAAACTCTCCACTCTCTCCACAACTGCCCCATCACCAAATGGGAGTTGTGGGGGTGGAGTGTCCAATGGTACAAAATACCCAGGCAGGTGCTTAGTTTTGGTGGGTCTGATGGTAAGGCCCCACCTCTTAGTGGCACGCTCCAGTCTCAGCAGCAGCGCCTCCAAATCCTCCTCTGAGTGAGCAGCAATTACTAGATCATCGGCATACATAACATGGTTGAGCAATAGGGAGCTATCCCTTGACCGCACCTGGGCATCAATCAGCCTCCCATTGTATCTGTACCAGATGGAAATTCCTCTGGTACAGCCATCGAAGGCTTCACGAACTACGTGGTCAAAATAGATGTTCAATAATGTGGGAGCTAGAGGACATCTCTGTTGCACCCCAAGGTAAAAAGGGAATGGCTCTGACTCCCAGCCACGTAGTTTTACCCGGGCCCGCTCACCATCACGAAGGTCCTTAATAATCGTGAGCAGAGGGTCAGGGACTGCAAAAGCACGAACAATGACCCAGAGCCCAGGCCTACTGATGGTATCATAGGCCTTGACCAGGTCAATAAAGCAGAGATGTAGGTCTTGTTGGAATTCCCTCCACCTCTGCTGTAGCAGACGGACAGAAAATATGGCATCTGTGCAGGACCGCCCTTTCCTGAAACCACATTTGGGCTACGCAAGCCTCTCCTCAGTGTGCCTGGCAAGGCGATGTTGAATAGACACACAGACACACATAGACAGACACACACAGACAGACACAGGCAGATAAAGATCCCCCGTATAGCCTTAACAGACTGTAGGGGCAAGTGCTGTTAGCGAGCACCTATGAAGGCCGGAACGGTACACACAGACAGACACACAGACACAGACAGACACACACAGACAGACACACAGGACACAGGACAGACACACACAGCCACACACAGACAAACAACAACCGCCATTTGCCACTAAGTGGTGGTGACATCACCACGACGCTTGTGCCAGGCCACACACACAGACAAACAGACAGCCACAGACACACACAGACACACACGGACAGACACTGCCACACACAGACAAACACAGACACACAGAGACACACACAAGACAGACACAGAAAAGTGATGAAGACCAAAACCTCATCACTAACCTCATACAACAACACTGATCAGCATCCCACTCTGTCTGTGTCTCCCTGTCTCTCTGTTTCTCTGTCTGTATCTGTCTCACTGTGTCTCTCTGTCTGTGTCTCCCTGTCTCTCTGTCTGTATCTGTCTCGCTGTGTCTCTCTGTCTGTGTCTCCCTGTCCTCTCTCTCTGTCTCTCTGTCTGTATCTGTCTCACTGTGTCTCTCTGTCTGTGTCTCTCTGTCTTTCTCTGTCTCTCTGTCTGTATCTGTCTCACTGTGTCTCTCTGTCTGTGTCTCCCTGTCTCTCTCTCTGTCTCTCTGTCTGTATCTGTCTCACTGTGTCTCTCTGTCTGTGTCTCCCTGTCTCTCTCTCTGTCCTCTCTGTCTGTATCTGTCTCACTGTGTCTCTCTGTCTGTGTCTCCCTGTCTCTCTCTGTTTCTCTGTCTGTGTCTGTCTCTCTCTGTCTTTATCTGTCTCCCCGCGTCTCACCGTATCTCCCCGCGTGTGTCCCCAATCCCGTAGCCGCCACCACCGCCGCCACCTCCCGCTCCTCCCGACCCTCGTCCGCGGTGTCTACGGGAGACGAGGCGACGCTCCCCCGCCGGTGGCGGCAGCGCCTCCATCAGCTTGATGGCGGCCATAGCGGTGCTGGCGATCCTCCCCTTCGTGGTGTGCACCACGTGGGGCACACGGAGTGCCGGCAAACGTGGCGGTGAGTGTTGTGGTGGCTATGAGATGTTGACGGTGAGCGTTGTGGTGGCGTTGTGGTGACGTTGTGGTGGCTATGAGATGTTGACGGTGAGCGTTGTGGTGGCGTTGTGGTGACGTTGTGGTGGCTATGAGATGTTGACGGTGAGCGTTGCGGTGGCGTTGTGGTGGCTATGAGATGTTGCCGGTGAGCGTTGTGGTGGCTATGAGATGTTGACGGTGAGTGTTGTGGTGGCGTTTGTGGTGGCTATGAGATGTTGCCGGTGAGCGTTGTGGTGGCTATGAGATGTTGACGGTGAGTGTTGTGGTGGCGTTGTGGTGGCTATGAGATGTTGCCGGTGAGCGTTGTGGTGGCTATGAGATGTTGACGGTGAGTGTTGTGGTGGCGTTGTGGTGGCTATGAGATGTTGACTGCCTCGCCTGGTACACGGGAGGTCGTGGGTTCGATCACGACCCTGACGACGCCTGCTGCTGCTGCTGCTGGTGTGTATTTGGAGTTTGCTCCGCACTCACGTGCCTCGTGAGTTTCTCTCCGCACTCTGCGCGATGTTCTCGTTCCCCAGCGGACGAGCAAGGAGGGAGCTCCCCGAGCCTGGTGCCTGAGAGAGATGCCGTCTCTGCCGAGTGCAGGTAGCCACCAACACTAACACCACCAACACCAACACCATCGCCACCACCACCACCAACACCACCACCAACACCACCGCCACCACCACCATCATCATCACCACAGCCACCATCACCACCAACACTAACACCACCACCACCAACACCAACACCACCACCAACACTAACACCACCACCACCAACACCACCGCCACCACCATCACCATCATCATCACCAACACCACCACCAACACTAACACCACCACCACCAACACCACCGCCACCACCACCATCATCATCACCACCGCCACCACCGTCACCACCATCACCACCACCACCACCGCCACCACCACCGCCACCACCACCATCATCATCATCACCACCACCATCACCACCGCCACCAGCACCACCGCCACCACCACTGCCACCACCACCGCCACCACCACCACCGTCACCGTCACCACCACCACCGTCACCACCACCGCCACCACCACCACCACCGCCACCCACCGCCACCACCGTCCACCACCACCATCACCACACACCGTCACCACCGTCACCACCACCGCCACCACCACCATCGTCACCGCCACCCGCCACCACCACCATACATCATCATCACCACCACCATCACCGCCACCAACCACCATCAATCATCACCACCGCCACCACCATCATCATCACCACCACCGTCACCACCACCACCATCACCGCCCCCATCACCGCCACCACCCGCCGCCGCCACCACCGCCACCACCATCATCACCACCCGCCACCACCACCATCCCAGACACTGAGAGTTCTTGACCACCTCGCCTGGTACGCAGGAGGTCGTGGGTTCAATCCCAGAAACTGAGAGATGTTGACCACCTCGCCTGGCACGCAGGAGGTCGTGGGTTCAATCCCAAACACTGAGAGATGTTGACCACCTCGCCTGGCACGCAGGAGGTCGTGGGTTCAATCCAGAAACTGAGAGATGTTGACCACCTCGCCTGGTACGCAGGAGGGTCGTGGGTTCAATCCCAGACACTGAGAGATGTTGACCACCTCGCCTGGCACGCAGGAGGTCGTGGGTTCAATCTCAGACACTGAGAGATGTTGACCACCTCGCCTGGCACGCAGGAGGTCGTGGGTTCAATCCCAGACACTGAGAGATGTTGACTACCTCGCCTGGAACGCAGGAGGTCGTGGGTTCAATCCCAGACACTGAGAGATGTTGACCACCTCGCCTGGAACGCAGGAGGTCGTGGGTTCAATCCAGACACTGAGAGATGTTGACCACCTCGCCTGGCACGCAGGAGGTCGTGGGTTCAATCCCAGACACTGAGAGATGTTGACTACCTCGCCTGGCACGCAGGAGGTCGTGGGTTCAATCCCAGACACTGGGAGATGTTGACCACCTCGCCTGGCACGCAGGAGGTCGTGGGTTCAATCCCAGACACTGAGAGATGTTGACCAGCTCGCCTGGCACGCAGGAGGTCGTGGGTTCAATCCCAGACAGTGAGAGATGTTGACTACCTCGCCTGGCACGCAGGAGGTCGTGGGTTCAATCCCAGACACTGGGAGATGTTGACCACCTCGCCTGGCACGCAGGAGGTTGTGGGTTCAATCCCAGACACTGAGAGATGTTGACCAGCTCGCCTGGTACGCAGGAGGTCGTGGGTTCAATCCCAGACACTGGGAGATGTTGACCACCTCGCCTGACACGCAGGAGGTCGTGGGTTCAATCCCAGACACTGAGAGATGTTGACTACCTCGCCTGGCACGCAGGAGGTCGTGGGTTCAATCCCAGACACTGAGAGATGTTGACCACCTCGCCTGGCACGCAGGAGGTCGTTGGTTCAATGCCAGACATTGAGAGATGTTGACCACCTCGCCTGGCGCGCAGGAGGTCGTGGGTTCAATGCCAGACACTGAGAGATGTTGACCACCTCGCCTGACACGCAGGAGGTCGTGGGTTCAATGCCAGACACTGAGAGATATTGACCAGCTCGCCTGGTACGCAGGAGGTCGTGGGTTCAATGCCAGACACTGAGAGATGTTGACCACCTCGCCTGACACGCAGGAGGTCGTGGGTTCAATGCCAGACACTGAGAGATATTGACCAGCTCGCCTGGTACGCAGGAGGTCGTGGGTTCAATCCTAGACACTGAGAGATGTTGACTACCTCGCCTGGCACGCAGGAGGTCGTGGGTTCAATCCCAGACACTGAGAGATGTTGACCAGCTCGCCTGGTACGCAGGAGGTCGTGGGTTCAATCCCAGACACTGGGAGATGTTGACCACCTCGCCTGACACGCAGGAGGTCGTGGGTTCAATCCCAGACACTGAGAGATGTTGACTACCTCGCCTGGCACGCAGGAGGTCGTGGGTTCAATCCCAGACACTGAGAGATGTTGACCACCTCGCCTGGCACGCAGGAGGTCGTTGGTTCAATGCCAGACATTGAGAGATGTTGACCACCTCGCCTGGCACGCAGGAGGTCGTGGGTTCAATGCCAGACACTGAGAGATGTTGACCACCTCGCCTGACACGCAGGAGGTTGTGGGTTCAATCCCAGACACTGAGAGATGTTGACTACCTCGCCTGGCACGCAGGAGGTCGTGGGTTCAATCCCAGACACTGAGAGATGTTGACCACCTCGCCTGGCACGCAGGAGGTCGTTGGTTCAATGCCAGACATTGAGAGATGTTGACCACCTCGCCTGGCACGCAGGAGGTCGTGGGTTCAATCCCAGACACTGAGATATGTTGACCACCTCGCCTGGCACGCAGGAGGTCGTGGGTTCAATGCCAGACACTGAGAGATGTTGACTACCTCGCCTGGCACGCAGGAGGTCGTGGGTTCAATCCCAGACACTGAGATATGTTGACCACCTCGCCTGGCACGCAGGAGGTCGTGGGTTCAATGCCAGACACTGAGAGATGTTGACCACCTCGCCTGGCACGCAGGAGGTCGTGGGTTCAATGCCAGACACTGAGAGATGTTGACCACCTCGCCTGGCACGCAGGAGGTCGTGGGTTCGATCCCCACCCTTGACGACGCCCGCCGATGTTTATTCGGTGGTCGCGTGACGTCTTCCGAATTAGAAATGTTTAGTCTACGAAACGGGCGCGAATAAGTTCCACTGTGCGTGCAACTCTCACGCGCTGCCCGGTACGTGCGCATCACCCTCGCCTACTTTCTCCGCTCCCTCCAGCGACGAGGAGGCCGCCACGGCGCGGATGACAGAGCGGCACGCGGGAGACGGAGGTGTAAGAGGAGAAGAGGTGGAGGATGAGGTGTCAAGAGTCGGAGTCGGAAGTTTGTGTGTTTGTGGGCAAAGCGGCCACTGTAGTAGTACCGTCCTTGTTGCTGTTGTTATATTGATGGTGAAAAGTTATTTACCACCCACCCCCCTCACCCCGACTTTATATTGAAGCTTTTAGTTGTGTGATGTCCGGTACTCACACAGAGACCCAAAGACTCGCCCACAGAGACCCACAGAGTCACCACACAGAGACCCACAGACTCACCACACAGAGACCCACAGACTCACCACACAGAGACCCATAGACTCACCACTCAGAGACCCACAGACTCACCACTCAGAGACCCACAGACTCACCACACAGAGACCCATAGACTCACCACTCAGAGACCCACAGACTCACCACTCAGAGACCCACAGACTCACCACACAGAGACCCACAGACTCACCACACAGAGACCCATAGACTCACCACTCAGAGACCCACAGATTCACCACTCAGAGACCCACAGACTCACCACACAGAGACCCACAGACTCACCACACAGAGACCCACAGACTCACCACTCAGAGACCCACAGACTCACCACTCAGAGACCCACAGACTCACCACACAGAGACCCACGGAGTCACCACACAGAGACCCACAGACTCACCACACAGAGACCCACAGACTCACTACACACAGACCCATAGACTCACCACACAGAGACCCATCACACAGAGACCCACAGACTCACCACACAGAGACCCATCACACAGAGACCCACAGACTCATCACACAGAGAGCCACACAGAGGACCCACAGACTCACCACACAGACACCCATAGACTCACCACACAGAGACCCACAGACTCACCACACAGAGAACCACAGACTTATCACACAGAGACCCACACAGAGATCCACAGACTCACCACACAGAGACCCACAGACTCACCACACAGCGACCCACAGACTCACCACTCAGAGACCCGTAGACTCACCACACAGAGACCCTTAGACTCACACACAGAGACCCATAGACTCACCACA